CAGATCCTCTCTGACATTCACACTGTTTCTGCTCCACTTTGTTTCCTACAGATCTTCTCTGTTTATTCTTATGGCAATGTACAGTTTTATAACTTAGCCATCATGTCTTATGACAGATATCTTGCTATCTGTTGTCCTCTGCAATATAACACACGTATGACATTTAATAAGGCTGTCAGGCTTACTGTTGTTATATGGGTTCCTCCTTTTCTTGTTGTTTTTGTTACAACATGCTTGAGTAGCTCCTTACAGCTGTGTGGGAGAATTATTAACAAAGTCTACTGTGACAACTACTCCATCATCAAACTGGCTTGCTTCGACACCACAGTAAATAATATCTATGAACTCATTGCTGCTTCTCTCACAGTCTTTGGTTCTGGATCTTTAATCCTTTACTCTTACGTGAGGATCTTTAGAGTTTGTTTCTCTGGTTGTAAACAGACCAGACAGAAAGCTGTCAGTACCTGCACACCTCACCTCGCTTCTCTGCTCAACTTCTCTTTTGGTGTTTGCTTTGAAATAATACAGAGCAGATTTGATATGAAAGATGTACCTAATATAGTGTGCATCTTTTTATCGTTATACTGGCTGACATGCCAACCGCTCTTCAGCCCTGTAATGTACGGACTGAACATGTCCAAGATACGTAGCATGTGTAAAAGTCTGCTTTTAAGTTCAGTTAGGAAGTTTAGATCATCTGACAGATTTGTTCAGCTTGAATAACAAGAGAAAACAATAACTGTAAGCCTTTGGCTGACTAGTGTGTGTGTGTGTGTGTGTGTGTGTGTGTGTGTGTGTGTGTTGTGTCAAAACTTAGGAGATGTATCATGTAAGTGACGCAACAAGTAAAAGGTGATCTACTTCTGTCTATTCTTGTTTTATTTTCGCACTGTTATGTTTTAATCTTCTATATGAAGTCAATCATCTAAAATTTTAAAGCCATAGTATCCTCTCACAATAATTTATTTCGCTGAAATTAGACATTTTGAAAGTTATTTGAAATCGTCCAATGAGGATGAATTAGCTGATAAAGTTAATTTACTAAACTTTCATCGTGAAAAGTAAAACTGAACACCACAAACAGAATAAGTTCCAAATTGAATGGATTGCAACGATTTTATTCATAAGGTTTTTTTACAATTTGTACAACATACGGCCTTTCAATGTATAATTTATATATCTATACAAATTAAAATAAGGAAAGACTCTTTAACAGGAGAACAGGAGAAAATGTCTAACTGTCCTCTTCCAGGACAGACAAACATTCAACAGGGGTTGTCTTTGCAGAGTAGACAGCTGGAGCAGTAAGACAATAACAATATTGGGTAGATGAAGTAAAACAATAAAATGAAGTAAATATTAAGTGTTTCCAGTGTGAACTCTTTACCTGGATAGGCTTCACACCATCTGGCCTATGAGCGACATTAATGTTTCCCTAACTAGGACCACACTAACAGAGATAAGGGTTTCGAATGGTTTATTCCATGTTAAAGTCAGGGATGGACTTTGGGAGCGAAAGGTGGTTTAGAGTTCTGGGATGAAAGGATTCAATTCAATTCAATTTATTCTGTATAGCCCAAAAATCCTTAATAACAAAAAGGGCTTTACAGTCTGTACACATTCAACATCCTCTGACCTTTGACCCTCACATCGGAACAGGAAGAACTCCCCCAAAAAACTTTTAACAGGAAGAAAAAAGAAAAGGAAGAAACCTTAGAGAGAGCAACAGAGGATGGTCCTCTATCGGGATGGACAGAAGTGTGATAGATGTCATGTGTACAGAAGGAACAACATAACAGAGTTACAACACATTCTATGCATATGATATAAATTATTCATATGATTGAAATAGTAAGCAGAATAATGGTGGAAAAATTATGACTACTAATAATAACAGCAGCAGTAGATATAGTAGAATAACATTGATAATAAAAGAGTTGCCTTCCTCCCAAAGCCTCTCATTGATCAATGAGCAGGGATGGGGTTAAGCGTTGCTGGGCACCTCTGCAGCATCAGCTGAAGCTTGGTCGATGCTCCCTCGACGTTTGCTGCTTCTCCTGTCCCGGTTTGTCAACCAGGCAGAGATACAGTGAGTCGGCTGTCTCTTAGTCGATCACTTCACTGAGACTTGGGCAGAATCACTCTACCCAACTCTCTTCTCTCCGGGATGCTCTAGACCAGGGGTCGCCAACCTTTACTATCCAAAGAGCCATTTTGCCCTATTTTCCACCAAATAAAATTTGTCTGGAGCCGCAAAAGCTATTTGATATCTCAGCTTATAAAGTTTTATATATAGTTATATTATATATACAAAAACTATAGTTTGTTGTATTTATGAAAATTTAGGGCCATTGTCATGACCATGAAATATGCCAGCAAGGAAACCGCCAATACTGCCAGGATCACCGATACCACCTTCAACGGCCTGTAGAATACTGCTGCGGTGTCGATGCCCAGCCAGGTGACCACCATCATTCCTTTGACTAGACCTTGGCGGCTGGTGTTGATGTCGATTTGCCGCAAGAGATAGGATAGGGTCAGCCACATTTTTCCACTGTAGATGTTATCGACCGCTGTCTTCACCCCAGAATCAGGGCCCTCAAAGGTTGATGGAGGGACCATTCCCCAATTCAGCAGTAGAGGAACCATATGACTTCAAGGACCCAAAAGTCTAGTCTAGTCAGTCTGATCACAGATATAGGTTCTGTGCCAGAGATGTTTTGGAATGCTTCTGTTATACTCACTCCAAATGTGGTCGGTGCCTGGGGGCTGCTTGTCATGGCTTCAGATGTCATCTTTGATGTGTTTGTTGAATTCAGGTATGCTCTTACCCTAGATGCACTTGGTTGAGGACCCGGAACTGAAAAGGCTATGGGGCTCCAGTGTTCCAACTTTTATAGGCTGGTGCACTACTCCCCTTTCCGGAGGAGGGGTTTCTTCTCTACTTCCTGTGTCTTCCTCAAGGTTCTCTTACAGCGCAAGTAGATGGCTGCCGGCACTTCTTCCACAGCTACCTGAAGGGTTATGGCTGCTCCCGTTAGCTCGATCCAGGTGCACTCATGTTCTTGTTTCCCGGTCCTGCAATGTAGCCAATGTTCTTCTGGTGTATGGCAAGTTCCATTATTATAGAGGAGGTTAGGGCCCAGCCACTCAAACCCTCTAACCTCTTTTCCTTTGCACAGGCTCCGTCTGAAGGCATGTCCTTCAGCTAGGAACACTGTAGGATCTGTTACTTGGGGAATGATTCTTCCATTCACTCTTTCTGTCTTTCATATGATGACCCAGGATTATGTTGGTACAACTGCCTCCTATAGGTGCCGATCTTCTCCATTTTCCGTCGCTCACTTTTACCCAGGTCACTTCTTGCACATGGGTGTCATATTCATCACCATAGTGTGACTGACAATGATCCTCCCAACCTGGCACGGTTTCACAATACCTCCCGGCAAGGCTGATGTTGGTCTTGGGCTCACATATGGTTCTGGTCTGTTCTATACTCCGGGACAAATATCTCTGTCCTTTGAGTACACTGTGGCTACATATTGATACTTCACCCAGTAGATGTTTGTCTGGGTTAGGCCTGGCACTACCCATTCCAACACTGTGGAACGACCATGTGGAGCCACTTTCACTCGAACAGCCTTCTTTCCAAGCTTGTAGGTTTCCCTTGACTGTCTCATTTTTCTTCAGGTGTGCACAATCATTCTTCCAGGTTCCCCAGGCCCGGTACCACTCTTGCCATAGTGTGCATCGGGGCGAGGCTCCATTGCTCAGATACTCTGAGCCATTTAGTGTGTCAAACATTCTGTCAGTTACACATTAGTTGATCTTCTGGAATCAAAGTACTGTCATTAATTCATCTGGTCTGGGCAGCTTCTGCACATACAATACATGTCTGTTGTACCTGGTCCTATGAGGCCTCGACTGCTTCTTGAGTAGCCCTCACGGAAGGCTCCCCAAAAGTGTTTCAGCGGGGTAACCCATATCCAGGGTAAAGTTTGGGTAAGCCAGTCCTTATACAGGGCATTTGGCTCGGCCTAATATATGTTCTTATGAGCCTGATACTCCGGTGTATTGGCCGGAGTTATTATAAAGTATTTTTGGGTCTCACAGGTGAAGTACATGTTCCAAAAGCACTTGCAGGGTACACCACTTCAGGTTTCCAGTACCCCTGGGTCCCTTGTCCTCCCCACAGGACACAAGAGCAGTACCAACCAGGTTTCTCATTTTCAGGGTGAATCTAGTTACACTGTACTCTCTTTTTCTTCCTTTCTTTCTGGGTCAAGATCATTATCTTCACTTCATCACCTTCCGTAGACAAATCCTCTGTCTTCCAGGTCAAATTTTCTGCTACTGACCTCAACTCCTCTGTCCAGGATTGAATCCATGCCGACACTGATTCTTCGACCGTCTCGTTATCTCTAGGCATCTGCTCCCAGGTTGTAATCCACTTGAAGACATTGGCAGTCAGGTTCAGTGCATCCTCACCCCCTTCTTGGACTTGGTAGTCCAGTGCAGTCAGATCCGTCAGATCCAACTGGGTCATGTTGCCTCCCCATGAGGGTGGTTTGGAGAGGACAACAGTTCTTTGTCCTACCATCCAGCAAGTCTGGCTGAACTTCTTGGTGGTTCCAGAATCTAACCCTAACGCAATCGCCATCCATACTCGCATTCCAAATCAGCAGGCAATACGCCACCGCTTTTTCCTGAGTGATGAAGTTCCTAACTTGTGACAGTTCTGCATACAAGGGCTGCCCACTCTCGGTTTTGAGCTCCGATACCTTTGCCCACAAGTCCGAAAGATTCCGCTGTAGGTGCATCGAATCCCTTTTTGTGGTGTATGGCAAATCCTTCATCGTATCTTTAGGTCTTGGTTCGGCAGATGGTAGCTCAATGTGTGCAATCGCATTTCTTGATTTTCGATCACATACTGTTTTATATTTTTTGTGTTAAGCACTGTACAGTGCCACATGTACTGGCTAGTTGTCCAAATCACTATTTCTCTTAGCCAAATTTCAACATACTCTTCCTGCAATGGATCAGACCAGTTGGGTCCCCACCTGAGCTTCAGCTGTTTACCATGTACCTCTAGGTACATTACATTACATTACAGTCATTTAGCAGACGCCTTTATCCAAAGCGACTTACAATAAGTGTATTCAACATCGATATTCAAGAGAACTACAAGTCACCAGAAGTCATAAGTGCATCTCCTTTTTTAAACAAGCATCTAAGAGCATAAACCAGAGCATAAGTACAGAAACAATCTAATATGAATACAATAAGTGCTAAGTGGAATGCTCAGGGTAGTACTTCATGAAGAGGTGAGTTTTCAGCCTGATGAAAGATGGGCAGCGACTCTGCTGTCCTGACGTCAGTGGGGATTTCATTCCACCACTGTGGGGCCAGGACAGAAAAAAGGCGTAACCAGGTCGATTGTCCGCAGGGAACTCTGAGTGACGGGGCAACCAATTGCCCTGAGGCAGCAGAGCGAAGTGGTCGGGCGGGGGTGTAGGGCTTGAGCATGGCCTGGAGATAGGAAGGAGCTGTTCCTTTCACTGCCCTGTAGGCTAGCACCAGAGTCTTAAACTGGATGCGGGCTCTTACAGGTAGCCAGTGTAGAGAACGGAGAAGGGAAGTTGTGTGGGAGAACTTGGGGCGATTGAACACCAGACAAGCTGCAGCTTTCTGGACAAGCTCTAGAGCAGTGGTTCTCAACTGGTCTGGCTGCGGGACCCACCATCACCCCTTAATGACAAGCCGCGACCCACGACCCAAATTATTTATTTATATATACTGTATATATATATATATATATATATATATATATATAATTTGGGTATATCTATATTCAAGAAGTCTAGTAGTAGTAACGTCTCTGTGTAGTAAACAACTGTCAAATCAAATAAAGAAAGTACACATCAATTATATTTTAACAATTATTATTCAGATTTTTCAAATTTAACTGGATGGATTATAAATAATACATAGAAATACATAAATAAATGTTCTCATTTCAAGTAAAATAACGGCTGGATTAAAGAATAAATTACGTAACACAATTCATTTTTGAAAAATTATTTTCATTGAATTGCCCTGCAGCTTTAAATTGAGTTCATTCAGTGTGAAGCAAAAAAGCCACAATATTATATTTTTCTCATCTACTAAAAAGAGAAATTAGTGTTGGAAGAATTCAGCTATATGAGTCTGTCCAGTCAGAGTCTAATGTCTCTGGTCTTTCTGGCCATTTTTCTCTTTTGGAGATCATTCTATGATTTGACTTTCACAACTCACACTTCAATAGTCCTGCTCTGCTCTATATATCCTCGTCTCTCCCCCGTGTGTCACGGTGTGTGTACATCTCACTGAGTCAGGAAACTTGTCAGAATACCCATATTTGATTGGCTGAGCTGCATCACGTAATGTGATTCACAACGCACTGGTCGGTGTTTTTCCTGCACCGCTGAACAAGTGCCGTAAATGCTGGAATAATTCCGCTGCATAAAAAATGCCCTTCAGAATAAAATCACAACTGTTTTTTTTTTTTGTTTTTTTTGTCAGGCACGCGACCCACTGAAAACGGGTCGCGTTTTCAACTTTTGGGTCGCGACCCACCAGTTGAGAATCACTGCTCTAGAGGTCTGATGGCCGACGCTGGGGCTCCGG